ATCAAGAAGAGGTATTTAGGATTAAAGGATCAGGGGATAAAGAGTCCAATTAAAAAGCATTTGAAACAGGAAAAAAGATGAAGGCAATTGAAAGTATCTGGCATAAATCCTAGGAGTAGACCCTGTAGTCAGAGTGAAGGGTGGGTTCTTCCCCCGGGGCTGTTGTGGGCAGAAAGCGTGAGAACATGTCTGAATCTAAGTCAAGGGGTGGCACCTTCAAAATGCACACTGCGGGCCTGGAGGAGAGCACTGGGGCCAGAGAGAGAAAAATCCGGATCCTTCACTCACTGGGGAGACAGAAAGAGAAGTTGTCCTATATTTGAGATGGAAAATAAAAGTGAACTAGCTAGGAACAATGTGACTTCCCCACAGGGAATTAAATCTAGACCCTGGTCTGACATTAAAAGCACCACAACCTGCCTTCCAGGCAGCCAGGATTCATGCCCACTGGGCTGGGAATTAGCACATTACAGACTAAATCGTGTCCTTCCAAAATGCATAAGTTGAAGCCCTATGCCCCAATGTTATGTTTTTGTTTTGTTTTGGTTTTTTTGGTTTTTTGTTTTGAGACAGAGTCTCACTTTGTTGCCCAGGCTAGAGTGAGTGCCATGGCGTCAGCCTAGCTCACAGCAACCTCAAACTCTTGGGCTCAAGCAATCCTCCTGCCTCAGCCTCCCAAGTAGCTGGGACTACAGGCATGCGCCACCATGGCTGGCTAATTTTTTGTATATATATATATATATATATTAGTTGGCCAATTAATTTCTTTCTATTTATAGTAGGGACGGGGTCTCGCTCTTGCTCGGGCTGGTTTTGAACTCCTGACCCTGAGCGATCCGCCCGCCTCGGCATCCCAGAGTGCTAGGATTACAGGCGTGAGCCATCATGCCCAGCCCCCAATGTTATGTTATTTGGAGGTAGGGCCTTTGAGAGACAGTCAGGTTTAGATGAGGTCATGGGGTCCTCACGATGTGATTAGTGCCCTTATAAGAAGAGACCAGAGAACTTGCTCTTTCTCCTCACCATATAAGGACATAGCAAGAAGACAGCCACTTGCCAAGCAGGAAGAGAGCCCCTCACCAGAAGCTGAATCTGCCAGCAGCCTGCTCTTGGACTTCCAGCCTCCCCAACGTGAGGAATAAATGTCTGTTGTTTAAGGCCCTCAGTCCATGGCATTTTGTTATAGCAGCCTGAGCTGACGGAGGCAGAGCAGGCTTCTGCAGGGGAGTTCTACTTCCCCTCGAGTCCAGCTCAAATGCCACCTTCTCCAGGAAATCTTCTCATATTTCTCCCCAGCAGAATATCTCCCTCCTATGACCCTCTGTTTGTACTTCAACTATAACACATATATACACAGGCCTTCCCTGAAACACTGACAGTTTTATATTCATCTGCTCCTATTGACTTTTCCCCAACTCTGCCCTGCTCAATCCATTCCACTTACTTAGCCAATCCTAACCGAGGCAGGAAGGACCTTCCAGTTGTTCCAACAGGGTACCTGATTGGCCTTAGAGTTATTTTGGTATATCAACTCCAAGGACAGGTTCCAGAGTTATACACGTCCCATGCCTTTCATTCCCTTAGCTCACTGGTGTGCCCCTGTTCTCATAACCTGAGTTTTGTACCTGAGTCTCTGAGACCAGTTTTGCCATATAGCTACCTCTCCTCCATTTGATTACCAGACAAACAACAATTTTTTAGCATAACTATGCCCCGTGCAATATTTGAGGGATCCTTATACTAAAAATTATCTACTGTTTATCTGACAATTCAAATTTAACTGGATATCCTGTATTTTTATTTACTAAGGCTGACAATCTTATCTCCCCAGCACCACATCCACTGAGTAACCTGCCTAAGAGTGCTGTGTCCTGTTCTTTCTGTTTCCTGCCTTGGGGACTGTAGCCTTGTCTTGAAACTCAAAGCTCCAGGGGGATGGTTTGGTTTCCATCCCCATGGTTTCCATTCTGTTGCAGTTTTCAGAACCTAAGCACTTTAATATATATTCTTAAAAAATGAATACAATATCATTAAACATTTTCATTTCATTTCATTTCTCTGTTAATATTACCTATATGTTAATGTTACCTACAACTTCCACATTTCATGGTTCTGTCATGAGCTTGAGCTTATGAAGAATAAGTGCCATTGTTCTGGGGTCAAATCAAGGTGACCTAATTCTAAAGCTCACTGGACCAATAGCTTCCTTGGAGTAGTTATATGGAGAAGAATTCTCTATTTCACATAACTATTGATTATATTTCAAATGAAAAATTCAAGCATAAGTTTTCAGGGAAGTGGGACATAGGGTAGCATCAGATATAGCTAAATTAAAATAATATCCTGGGCCGGGCGTGGTGGCTCACGCCTGTAATCCTAGCACTCTGGGAGGCTGCGGTGGGCGGATTGCTCGAGGTCAGGAGTTCGAAACCAGCCTGAGCAAGAGTGAGACCCCATCTCTACTATAAATAGAAAGAAATTAATTGGCCAACTAATATATATAGAAAAAAATCAGCCAGACATGGCGTGGCGCATGCCTGTAGTCCCAGCTACTTGGGAGGCTGAGGCGGTAGGATCGCTTGAGCCCAGGAGATTGAGGTTGCTGTGAGCTGGGCTGACGCCAGGGCACTCACTCTAGCCTAGCAACAAAGTGAGACTGTCTCAAAAAAAAAGAAAGAAAGAAAAAGAAAAAGAAAAAAAAGAAAATAATATCCAGGATAAATAGTACCTTCCAGGCCGATCACTGCAACCTAGTCTGTACTGAAAGGCCCTAAGATATATTCTAATTTATTCTCCCCTAGAACTTACATTTTAATGATGGTAGCTTCCAGCATTGCACAATATATGACAATAAACATGTATTGAGTATTTAATGAGCACCAAGCATTAAGCTAAGATTTTGGATCATTTAAGATTTTGGTTATTTAATACAATCCTCACACCACCTTTATGAGATAGTTATTACATTTTCCCCACTTATAGAGGAGGAAGTAGAGGCTTAAAGAGTCTTGCTAGAATCTTGCTAGAAGCAAGATTCAACCGATTCCAAAGTCTACTTCTCAATGACTGTGCAACTGCTAGAAGCAATAGAACTAGGGAGTGGGGGTGGTGGTAGGGAACCATTTAATGGCCTGCTGTCTACAAGCAATGTGCTGAGAGCTTTCTGTGCATTAGATCTGGGGTTGGCAAACGAGCCTGCGGACCAAATTTGGCCTGCTGCCTGGGTGACCATGACCATGCCAATTTGTTTACATGCCATTTACGGCTGCTTTTGCAGTGACAAGAGACTGTATGACCCACAAAGCAGAAGATATTTATAATATGACCCTATGCAGAAAATGTTTTCCAACCTCTATGTTAGATCATTGACTCCTACAGCTTGAGGAAGGAAGTATTATCCTGATTTTAGAAAAGAAGACACTTGGGTTCAGAAAAGTTAAGGTGCTTATTCTAGAGCAATAGTTCCCTGATTTCAGAAGTTTTAAATTTGCATTTTGCCATAGAGTTACCTCTTTTTTTCAGAGTTAGAGACATTGGGGAGGAAATGCTCTGTGTTCCTATAATTTCATAAAAGATATTTTAATACCCAAGTATGAGGGTATATAATTACCAACCGTCCTTTAGATGAAATAAATTTAATTTTATGAAAAACTTTGAATATTATTCTTATTTGTTTTTCTATTTTGCAGAGGATAGATGAGGATGTAGTCATGGATCAGCATGTATTCAAGTACTGGCAGTTAGGGGCTGCTTGCTTAGGAACTCCAGCCAGTAAGTGGCAGAGCCAAAGGACACACAGGCCTGTCTGACTCCAAAGACTGTGTTGGGGATATCTATCTATTATTCATGCATTCATTCTGTCATTCAATAGCTATTTATTAGGCACCTAGGATCTGCCATGTACCATGCTCTTGCCAAGGGCATGATAAATTATTTTCCTCCATTTCTTTCACCATCTCTCTCTTTCCTTTGGCTGGTTTTGTTTTTGTTGTTGTTATCATTTGTTTTATGTTTTTTTTTAGAAACGGTTTTGTTCTGTTGCCTGGGCTAGAGTGCCGTGGCATCAGTCTGGCTCACAGCAACCTCAAACTCCTAGGTGCCAGCAATCCTCCTGCCTCAGCCTTCCAAGTAGCTGGGACTACAGGCGCACACTACCATGCCCACTAATTCTTTCTATCTTTAGGAGAGATGGGGTCTCGCTTTTGCTCAGGGCTCAGGCTGGTCCCAAACTCCTGAGCTCAAGAAATCCTCCCACCTTGGCCTCCTAGGGTGTTAAGATTACAGGCGTGAGCCACCATGCCTGGCCTCCTTTGGCTGTCTTGATTGAAACCAAAAACTCAACTCTTATCATGGATCAGTTAACCAGTTTTTTGTTATGATAGCTTGACCTGTTGGGCACTAGGGAAAATGATCCATAGGAAAATACCATAGACAATAATATTATAGGTTCTCTCTGTTTTTTTTTTTTTTTTTTTTTAGTAATAGCTTTAGAGACTATTAGGATAGGGAAGAAATTTAGTTATTTCATCAAGTCACAGAGATTATGCAATCCAGATCTCTGAGTAAAACAGTTTGCACATATACCTTTCCAGTTTCAAGGTTCTCCCCTAAGGGATCAGGACACAGCCTGTGAGTCCTACTTTCCCTCAGTAACTACCATCATCTCTTTAATATCATGTTGCTAGAAACTATTCTTTTATTATAGCCAACTATCACCAATAAAGCAGTCAAACTATTTAAAAATTACAAGCAAAAGTCAATTATGTAAAGTGACTATCAAGGCACTTGAAATTAGCATTCATATTCTTGAACAAATGAGAATATTCAAATTATTGCATTATATATAACTATGTAATAGCCTACATTTAAATATTTCTGATTCTGAATTATTCCTCTTTTTTAAAAAATTATTACATTGATAAGACAAGTAATATAAGGGAAGTTCCAATTATGCCACTGATCATAGACAGAATATTTAAAAATAATTAAATAAAACTTACTGTGTATTCTGATTCCACATGTTCATTTGAAGAGGGGAAAGAAGAGAGACAAAATAATGATTTAGACCATGCTGATATACAATATAAAGCCACAGAATTAACAAATACTTATGAATTATCATTACTAAAAATGTGCTACAGAAACCTTCTAAAATTAAACTTTCATAAATACTAAATGTCTCCATGTTTGCACTGAAATTCTTTCATATAACACTGTGGTTGGGCAGATAAAGACAGTAAGACTAGATTCAATTAGCCTATAGGTTTGTGGCTAATTAAAAACCAAAGAGTTGGCATTATAAAAGTAGAATGAAAGACTAATAATTCCAGTAGTGCATTTCATTAACCACAAAGGAAATCTTTTGAGTGGAAAAGCATCATTTATAACCAATAAGAGCTTGTTATGATGATATTGAAGTGGGATCTTGAATTTTAGTGTGTTCAAGAGCAGGAACAAAACCAAAATTTTTCTGGCCAGTTTTTAGTGTAGCATTTAGTGCAGAGAGTTTATTATCATTGCAGTACATGAGAGGGAAAGTGATCTTAAAGATTTCCATATTATCTAATAACAAAGGAAATAGTTTGGGGCAGAAAGATCCAACAGAGTCTTTTACACAAATTATAGTCAAATTTGGAGGGGAGCGAGGCTATAAAATAAACAAATCAAAAGTTTATAGACAAATCATATGCCAAAATTACCAGGAATTATTTATTATTATTATTATTATTATTTTGAGACAGAGTCTCACTTTGTTGCCCAGGCTAGAGTGAGTGCCCTGGTGTCAGCCCAGCTCACAGAAACCTCAAACTCCTGGGCTCAAGTAATCCTACTGCCTCAGCCTCCCAAGTAGCTGGGACTACAGGCATGCATCACAATGCCTGGCTAATTTTTTCTATATATATTAGTTGGCCAGTTAATTTCTTTCTATTTAGAGTAGAGACCGGGTCTCACTCTTGCTCAGGTTGGTTTCGAACTCCTGAGCTCAAATGATCCGCCCGCCTCAGCCTCCCAGAGAACTAGAATTACAGGCGTGAGCCACCGCACCTGGCCTACCTGGGAATTATTGAGGAAACTGGAAAACAAAGACCATAAAACCTCTAGAAATGTCACTAAAAGGATCTTCATCTTCCTTCTCCATAGTTATTTATTATAATCAGTCTAAGAAGGAAGATGGACTGTCTTAGCTTAACCCCTCCTCCCATTCCCTGCCATCCCTGTGTCTCAGTGGTAGGAAGAGCACTGATGCCCTAGAAGTAAGAGAGTAGAGGACGATGGAGATGTTTTGGGGCTCTCAGAAGGCCCTGCTTGGATAGTCAGCCCTAAATCAGTGAAATGCAGCTACCGCTATGTCATGGCCTTTGCTACACGTGGCACACTGGTTGTACTAAAGACTTACCTGTAATTGTGTAGGGATAATAGTTCCAAGCCTTCTCCGTAACATAAAATATTTTGGGGACAACAGCTCTGGCCCAACTAGGCAGTTTGCTAAGAGGAAAGAAAGAAAGAAAAACAAAACAAAAACAATTAGAGTCTGTTCAGAGTCTCACAGTGCTACCACATCTTTCTGGATAAATTGCTGGAGAAATCAGAGTTCCGAGGCATCTGTCGTCTCCACAGCCACCCATTCCCCCTCTCTCTAGTTTTAACCGTAGCTAGTTGTTTCTTGTGCATATTCATGTGCTCTCAGAACGTGTAAAGGTAGACAGGGACTCCATAGTTCTGTGAATCTGTTCTGTTTGATTGGATTTGCAAGGACATGAGAGTTCAGGGACTGGGAGGCACCATGTTTGGAGGGTTTGGTCAGCCTGGCCTTTGTCTCCTGGGAGGGGTTTGGTGGAAGTGGTATAAAGTGATATTTAAGCCCAAACAATGGGTGGGGGCAATGGAGACAAATGTTAAAGACAGGCTTAAGCCTGGCAACCCACATAAATGACCTTTGAAGCTGGGCGCGGTGGCTCACACCTGTAATCCTAGCACTCTGGGAGGCTGAGGCGGGCGGATTGCTCGAGGTCAGGAGTTCGAAACCAGCCTGAGCAAGAGCGAGACCCTGTCTCTACTATAAATAGAAAGAAATTAATTGGCCAACTAATATATATATAAAATTAGCCGGGCATGGTGGCGCATGCCTGTAGTCCCAGCTAATCGGGAGGCTGAGGCAGCAGGATTGCTTGAGCCCAAGAGTTTGAGGTTGCTGTGAGCTAGGCTGATGCCACGGCACTCACTCTAGCCTGGGCAACAAGCGAGACTCTGTCTCAAAAAAAAAAAAAAAAATGACCTTTGAAAAATGGACAAAAGCAACAGAGAGTAGCAATTTAGAGATATGAAGAGGAACAAAATATAGCTCCTCAATGACTGTAGTGGGTTGAATTGTGTCTCCCCAAAAGACAGGTCCATGTCTTCACCTTCAGTACCTGTGAAACTGACCTAATTTGAAAACAGGGTCTTTGCAGATATAATTAAGTTAAGGATCATAAGATAAAGTCATTCTGGATATATGGTAAGCCCTAACTCCACTGCCTGGTATCCTTATAAGAGGAAGGAGAGAAAGATTTGAGACTCAGGGGCACACGGGGACAGAGACGGGATAGACACAGCTGCAAGCCCAGGAACACCAGAAGATTGGAGAGAGGCATGGAGCAGATTCTCCCTTGGAGCCCCTAGAACTGCGAGAAGATAAATTTGTGTGGTTTTAAGCCACCTACCTTGTGGCAATTTGTTGTGGTTTATTAGGTAACTAATAAAATAACAGCACTAATCCTCTGGATTGAGGAAGGGCCTGGGCAGCCATTTGCAGAAAACAAATTCTCAAATGCACAAGTCCCAGGGTCTTTTGTAAACCAAATACTGATGAAGTTTTGTTTTATTTTGTTTTTCTTCAGAGGCAAACCTTTTAGAATAGTGCAGCTTCAGAGAATTCCTTAAAGATTCATGTAAATATATGATTTTATCTATTCCTTAAAATATATCTACATGATTGTGTTTTCCCCAACACTATAACCAAGGGTTTCTGTCTTTCTGGAGGCTACCGTTTGCTTCTTTCCTATTTTGGTGCCTACCACTAAGCATTCAGGACATCAGTGTCTAATAGGAGATCAATCCCAGGGAAATGGAGTAGGCTCTCAGCTCCTCAGGGCTGCATGTTGGCAATAAAAAACCTCAAGAAGCAGTTTTGAATTTCAAGCTGATATAAGTAGGAAAAGTCGGGACATCGAGCTAATAGAACCCCAAATTCCAAACCCCTCTTGGACATGGACTCTATGTGACAGCCAGAGCCAGTAAAATACTGTGTATCTTGTGTGTCTTCTCAAATTGTTTCTCTTATGTCTGACAGTATCCAGGCCTGGTTTTTGACAAGACAAATATGTATCCTCAATGGCTGGCTGGACCTAACCCAGGGCTCTGGGCTGTTCATCAGGGTTAAAACAAATGGAAAGCAAAGCTCCCCCAAAGTTGGGTGGGTGGCAGATGAGGGCCATTGTTCTCAGGTGGGCAATGGGAGTCGTGAGCTGGAACAGTTTTGTAATTCACATACCAATTCTTCTTGCTGCTCTAACGCAGAATTTTTCACTCCTATAAAATCATCTCTGCAGTAACTGCTCATTTACCTTGCGTTCACACTGCTTGAAAGGATGAGGCTGCTCCCTGACAGGGGTTGTTATAGCTTTTGCAGGTGATCTATTCTATCAGTCACTAAAGTTGGAGTGCAACTCAGGTTGACATCAAGAGTAAGAAAATTAGGCTGGGCGCAGTGGAGCTCATGTCTGTAATCCCAGCACTTTGGGAGGCCAAGGTGGGAGGACTGCTTGAGATCAGGAGTTTGAGACCAGCCTGGGCAGCATAGTGAGATTCTGTCTCTACGAAATATAGAAAAATTAGCAAGGTGTGGTGGCGTGCATCTGCAATCTCTGCTACTCGGGAGGCTGAGGTAGGAGGATTGCTTGAGCCCAGAAGCCCAAGAGTTTGAGGTTGCAGTAAGCTATGGTCATGCCACTGCCCTCATGCCTAGGACTCTGTCTCCTAAATAAATAAATAAATAAATAAATAAATAAATAAATAAATAAATAAATAAATAAAAAGAGAGAAAGAAAATCACATTGGCTTGCTTGTGGGAAATGGCCATAAGCAAAATCTCCTGAGGGTTCTTTCCTAAATGGCCCCCAGAGCCTAGAGCAATATGCCAACGGGTAGTGTTGGAAGCTGTGGATTTTAGTCACAGGCAAGTGGTTTTCTTGTGCTTTTAATGGACTAAAACACGGATGCAGAATCTCCTGAAAGCGAACAAGGCGTGGTTTAGCTTAGACAAAGTGCCTGCATCTTCCCACAGCATTAGCGCCCACACCCCACTGTTCTCCCGTGTGCAGGCATTCCATCTACACTGCTGCACACCTCACACCACTAAGCTGCTTGTGCGTAGCACTCTGGGGCCCAAGTATCTCCTCTTTCCTCATTCCCGCAGCACCTGAAAAGCTTCCCAGCAGAAGAACCACATTCCTAAGCAACAATCATATTCTGGAAAGGAGATGGACAACACTGGCAATTTTCCATTCACATTGAGACTTCTCTTGTTCATAAACAGTTCATTAGGACTCAAGATTCTAGAATCTTTATTTTAGCTGTTTCATACTCCAACTTATGCAGGATATGCAGCACTATAATAAATTATTATACCTTTCCAATAAGATGGCCTAAAAAAACAATCATACAATTTTATGTGACTCTTCTAATTAGTCTGGAAAGGGGGCCCTTCTGGTATTTACCAGGCCATGCGCAGGAGGCGTTTGCAACAAGTTTTAGGATATGCTATTTAAATATTTTTAAGCCCACTAACAGACCTTCTCTCAGCCACCAATTTCCCCAGAGCGCATCATTATTTCAATCATTTGTCTGAAAAAGTAAAATTTATTTTTCCCTGCAGCAATGATTTATCAGGGCCTGCAAAGAAAGTGGAATTAAATTAGTTCCCGCTGTGGCTGTCACTTTCATGATGTATACTGTCACACAGCCTACCATTCTAAGAACCTGTCACTCAAACTCACTACTAGGTGTCAAACAACAGCAGCAAGTTTGAATCCTGTCTTCGTGGTCCACGGGCCAGGATCAAGCCTCCCAACAGCCCATCTTGTCAAGGCTTGGGCTTTAGAGAAACTGAGGAAGAAGAGGGATAGAACTTGAAGGCCTTTATGGAATCTAGAAACATGCTGTCATGGACTGATACCACACTTGTACCATATTCCCCCACATGTCTTTGTCAATGCCTCCCAAACATAAGAATTTTCAGAAGGTTTGGCTTCTTACTTTTAAACTTTGGTATAAAATAGAACATATATGGTGGCCAACTCCTCTGGTTTACCTGGGACTTCCCTGGTTTTAGCACTGAAAGTCCCACATGCCAAGAAAGCCCTCAGGTCCTGGGCAAACTGGGACTGTTGGTCACCCTAGAGCAGTGGTTCTCTCTACAGGGAGATTTTTGCCCCCTGTGATAAATTTGGCAGTGTCTGGAGACATTTCTGGCTGTCACAACAGGGGGGCATGCTGCTGGCATCTAGTGGATAAAGGCCAGGGATGCTGCTGAATGTCCTACAAGGTGCAGGACAGCCCCCAACTCCAAATAATTATCCAGCCCAAATGGCCACAGTAACAAGTTTAGAAACCTGATCATCTTTCATCTCATAGATTCCCCAAATGTTCCCTAAATCACAGCTGACCTGATAAGAAGGCCCCAGGGGTAGGCAAAGTCTGAACTGGTCTTAGGTTAGGGTATTTATTGACTTCATAAAGAGCTTCTGGAACCAAAATCTAAACTGTCCTTCTATTAGAAGCTTTTGGCACTTTACAATCCAGATTATCATAAAATTCCCCCTGGTATCTAATCTCACATTGTAATTTATGCTCATTTGGGATTTGTTCCAGGAGGTTTTGAATATCATTAGGCCAAATGTGGTCTAAATGGAGTCTAATTTCATCTTCTCAACAGGGGTCAGAATTATGATGGTCTTAACTGGAAATCTTGGACTTTAAACCTTCACCAGCAGAAAAGACAGTCCTAAGATTTTCTCCTAAACAGCATACCTAAAACCTGCCACTTTCTGCACTGACATTATGCTCAAATAACTGCAGCTCATTTTAAATAGGACTCTGCAACTTTTAAATCCTCATTTGCCACAAAATAGCCCATGAAGAATATTCTGACCCTTTGTTTAGTCTTTGCGCTTAAAGCTGACATTTGACAATTGTTTGATAATAATCAATTGCTCCCATCCAGTTCTCTGTACTGAGGTCTTTAAATTTCTTTTCCAGCTACTCTGATTCATTTACTTACTCTTCTAAATGGTTGTTTTGGCTGGTCTTTTACTTGTACTCTTAATGTAATTCTTTGCATGGCAGTAAAGAGGTGACAGTGTCTGGACCACAGCTGTCACCAGTGGGAGGCAAGATCACCAGGGCTTCACCCACAGGGACAGTCCATAAATTGAGTTCCTTGAACT